GTTTTTGCGCTACAAAAAAAAACCCTTAATAATGGATGATTTTAAAAACCGTGAAAAGCTTGAAATTGAAAAAGCCGTGTAGATTTGTTATAGTAAAACTGGCAAAGTTTTCTAGCTAACAAAAGCCTTGATAGCCTGTGATTTCAAAGCCGTAATAAGTTTGAGATTGAAAAAGCCGTGAAAGTCTTTGATAGTAACGATCGACAATTTTTCCTGGCTATATAAAGCCTGGATAATTCACCATATTAAAATCCGTAAAAGTTTGTGATAGGAAAATTCGAGAAAAACAGAAGTTATGACAGTAGGAAAATGTCTGCAAATAATATAATCAGATTTGGCAACAACAAAAGACAATATAACAATAAGATCAATTCTCCAAACAATTCTTGAAAATTATGATTGTTTTCCTATACCATATAAAATGACATCGTTAATATAATTATTACTGATGTACGGGGGTCAGTCATTACACCTTCCGACTCCTAGTACAATGAGTCATTATCCTTATAAAAACACTGCCACATGTCGTCACTATTCTAAGATGGATAACTATTACAGCAAACTTACATACATTTTTTTAGTTCACTCCATGCAAGGTATTAAAGCCACTAAGAAACGTGGGATTGCTGGGCGTGGAAGAATTTGAGACCGAAACATTACTAATGACCGTGAACAAAAAGCGTAATCAGAAAGATATTAAATAGCGATTGATATTACATTTAATTTTTAAAGATTAAAGTTAGACTGAGATTTTGATTTTAATTGATACTTAGTCCATTTTTCTCTCTTTCCCAGATATTTTAACTGTGGTTTTGCTAAAATACGAGTAAGTTTTGTCTATAAATAGTTAAACGGAAACAATGGCTGCTCTTTAAGAAATGTTTGCGAGTTGCGCTTAGAGAAATTGTTTCCAGCATCTACCTGGTTTTAGAAGAAAAGAGTCATTTTTTTATTCTTAAAGAATCCCGACACAAGTTGGTATTGATAACAAAAGGCAAGATTCTTAAATCATGAAACAACCGTTTAGACTAAATTCTCAAAAGAATACTAATAAATAATATTAGCCAAAGCTAATATAGCTAATAAGAAAAAGGGGAAAAAGTTACTAATAAATTTATTTATTCTTCTTTTTACAGTATGGTACACAATGAAAGTTAACCAACATATTAACACAAAGACACACCAACAATAACGTATATCGAATAAAGAAAAATAATAGATGTAAAATACATCGAAAATTCTCCGAGCATAAACAGATCAAAAACATCGCCCTGATATACGATCATAAGTAAAAAAAAAAAAAAATGTCCATTTAGAGTGAGAAGGTAATATTAATATAATTTTAATTATATATAGTCATCGACAGACAGCCAGTTTCACATCTCATCAGTGTGGCAAGATATCCGCTTGCCTTAAGCCGGGATCGAAATTCAACTAATTTGATAACAGTCGGAGACAGTATCCCTAAGCCATTGGCGGCCGGGGTAGAAAAAAGGTGAATTTAGATGTATTCATTTTTAGATAAACACGCCAGTGACTATAGAACTCGATACGTCTTAATGAAATAGCTATGTATATATGAGTTAAGGAACAAATGCAGATCATATATATATATATATATATATATATATATATATATATATGTATATATATATATATATATATATATATATATATGTGTGTGTGTGTGTATAGGTGTATATATATATATATAGGTCTCTGTGTGTGTATATATATATATATATTATACTTTGTTTTACATAATTTTACGACATGTGTTTCTGGTCTCGCGATGTGTGTGTGTGTGCGTGCGTGTGTGTGTGTGTACTGGTTCCATGTAGCTTGGGAAATATCTGTGTATATGTGTGTGTGTGTGTGTGTGTACTGATTACTTGTGGTGGGATAGTGTGTATGTGCGTATGGGTGTATATGCGTGTATAGGTACAAATAAATTTACGAATTCCTCGTAGACATATATATAAGACAGTATATGTATGGAGGGGAAATATACGCACGCATATATACACGCATGCTGACAGAAACGCACCAAAATGGAAACAGATCCAAGAGCACATAGGGGTCAGTAAAACATTAAAAGATAAAATGCCGATAACTAATTTATCATCTCGCTGGACCAACCTTAATTGTTTTTATGACCCTTCGCGCAGAACTCTTCATTGCCATTTCAAGAAAGAAATTCAGATTACCAACACAAAACAGAAAATGTCTCATATCGAGAATATTTAACATTGAACATGAGGAAAAATTAATTATTATTTTTAATAATATGTGGAAATCTCCACTTTTACCTGAAGACGGTCGCGAGACCAGAAACACGTGTCGTAAAAATTATGTAAAACAAAGTATAATATTTTTTCTAAATAAATCCACATTACAACCAAAAACGTTTGCGGCACCTCTCTCTTCTTTTTAATATCTATATATATATATATATATATATATATATATATATATATATATATATATATATATGTGTGTGTGTGTGTGTGTGTGGCACCATGCATACCTGACGAGCTGAAAAGAAATATTCATAGATATATGATTTGTTTTTTTTACGGTTTATCAACCATTTAATAATTATTTAGGGCCGAAAAATTTTTTTGGTTTTAAGAATAATTCTTTCTTTACATTCAAGCGATCTGGAAGAAGGAAAGAGAAAACGAAGAAGAAAGAAAGAAAAATAATACGAAAACAGGTCATAGGCGAGCACACACTCGCACGGCTGACAGATAACAGGTGTCGAAAAATATTCAGGTCAAGCATCTGACCGAGATCCGCGGAAAATGGAAGTTGTTATCACTTGGTTGTCATCCAAGGGAAAAGAAAGAAAAGAAGAAACGAAGTTTAGGGACAAAGAAAATATTGATAAGTAACAAGTGGAAAGTGTGTCATTGGAATGATAGTAAAGGTCTAAGTGGGTGGGGAAGTGTATCTAAGGATATGAAGGCAAAACATTAATACGAAAACATAGACAGTCTCCAGAATTGAAAAAAGCCACACAAGATGATGTCGCTGAATTTATTTTTTTTTTGAGATAATAAAGATTTTATTATCGGACCTTCGGGCGGAGGAAAATGAAATATTTTTATTTCGTTCAAAACGCCAACGGGTCTGAGAAATCCTTTCTTAGATCATATCCAATTAGCGATAAACTGCTTGACAAATACCACGTGTTAAAAAGCCGAAGGTGTCATCACAGTCGCTCATGATAAGGGCGATTTAAATTAATATTTTTTGTTTTTTAAGCAAGGTGTTTCTTTCCCAAAACAAAGCCACGGATTGTCCACGCCCGACTAAAGACGTCATTGGCTAAAAAGATCACACACACGAAGGAGGAGGAAAGATACCCGACCAGGACCTCATTGGCCGAGAGCGGTCACGTGACGCACGAGGAGAATCGGTCGACGCCCCTGTCAGAAGTGTAAGTGTAAGGAGCCGATACGAAGAAGCGGGGAAGCGGGTACACGCCCCTCAGAGGCACAGTAAGGAAGTGGGAGTGAGTGAGTTACCGAAATGGAAAATCCCTAACCAGAAATAAGAAGGGTGGATACGTATTTAGAATTATCGAAGAAACCCCTGGCGCCGACAGACCCACCCAGTTTTGACTGCGTCAATAAAAGCAAACCCCAACCGACAGAAATCAGTTTGAGTTGAGCCGCGGACGGCGAAAGAGTTCAGCCGTGGACGACAAGCAGAGATGAGCGCCCAGTGTTGAAACCGCGTCAAGATAGCTGACCAAGATTCACGCACACTTCTGGACTCTTCTTCAACCAAGAACAAGTAGTTTGAAGAGCGACTTAGAATCAGACCACGGAAATAAGTTTTTTCGACTTTCGTCCAAAGACACACCGAAACACAAATTTCTTAGAGAGCAGACAACTGGAAGCCTTAAAGTTGCCAAGTAAAAGCGTCGTGCCACAATCCACAGAACGGGTCGGGAAGTAGACATAGTCCTATGTACCGAGCAAATAGACATAAAAAGTTTGTTACCTTTTTTCTTGATACGTTGGACCTTGTGAGTTTTTATTTTATTTTCTTTTATACATAATTGTGTTTTATCACCCCGTTAGACTCAACTTGCATTACGGCCCCAACCCCCCGTTTGATCTCGTCTGTCTAAGATCAATTCACA